CAAGAAGAGATAGACAATGTAAAAAATCAGAAGGAACAAAAGCAGACACAAATATTTATGATGGTTTTGCAACATCTCAAATTTTAAAAAATTAAGAGCTCCAATTTATACCATATACCAAAATTAGTTTGGGATAGATTTAAGTGTTACATGTCCCCCAGTGTAATAATTGATTGAGGCAAGTAATGCTAATATTACTGGATGAAAGAAACAGGATACTCACATGGTATAAAAGTATCACCCTACAGATTACTTACTGGTTTTAAAGGCAGGTATCTGGTGGCCACCACCTTAACTAAGTGATCAAAGTAAGAATCATTGCTCATGGGACAAAGAGACGTTTGTGCCTCCTGACGTGATGTAACATGGCAGCACCTCTGAAGTGTTCTAGGAAAAAAACTTAATCCAAATCTAATCAAACATCCAGACCTAACGTCCAGTTTAAAGAAAATGCAGGTGATAAAGGAACAAGCAAAACAATAACATGAGGAAATAATTGAACAAATCCAGAATGCTGGACATTGTACCACAAAATTGTTCTGGACTCATCATAAAGACAATGTTGTGGGAAAAAGAGTGGAAGCACTGTTCTAGATTAAAAGTAATACGATAATGAAATATAATGTGTGATCCTAATTGCATCCTGTTTGGGAAAGAAAAAAAATAGCTATAAACGACATTTTGGTCATTAAGTGAGAAAATTTAAATATGGATTGATAGTAGAGAACTACTGTTAATTAATTGGCTTAGGTTTGATAATGATATCATCAGTGTGTAGGAGAATGTCCTTATTCTTAGATGATGCATTTTGAAATATTCAAGGGTGAAGGGCCATGATATCCACAACTTACTTTCAAATAAGTCCGAAAAAAAAGTATTATATTGAGAGAGAAAGCACATATGAAAAAAGGCTAACAATTGATTAACATTTTTGGATGTTTGAAATTTTTCAAATTAAGAAAATTGGGGGAAAAGGTTTAAAAGTGAAAAAAACATTAATGAGGAGAAAATAATAGTTAACGTTTTTATGATTATGCAATGGAGAAAACCTTTCAAGTATCATTCAGAAGCAAAAACAATTCAGTTAAAAGACTCATAGATTTAACTACATACAAATTTAAACTTTTGAATCACAAACAAGCACCATAAACAAATGGCACGTGATAAACTGGGGAAAATATATGCAACATATTTGACAAGGAAAGTTGACTATCCTTAGTCTATATTTCACGTCCTACAACTGAAAAGAAAAATAAAAGATTTACAATCTGATAGAAAATTATCTAAGGGCATGAATAGATCATTCATAAAAGAAGGAAAATGATGAGAAGATATGGAATACCTAGTATTTACATATTCACTACTGTTTGTTTGATGTTTCTCAGCCATTATCAGAGTCATCTGAGATGCTTGTTAAAAATGCAGCTTCCTGGGGCTTCCCTGGTTAAGAATCCGCCTGCCAATGCAGGGGACACAGGCTCGAGCCCTGGTCTGGAAAGATCCCACGTGCCACAGAACAAATAAGCCTGTGAGCCACAACTACGGAGCATGTGTGCCACAACTACTGAAGCCCACACGCCCAGATCCCGTGCTCTGCAACAAGAGAAGCCCCTGCAATGAGAAGCCTGAGCACCGCAATGAAGAGTAGCCCCGCCTCGCCGCAAGGAAGACCCAACGCAGCCCAAAATAAAATATAAGTAAATAAATTAATTTTTTAAAAAAAAAATGCAGCTTCCTGGGGAATTCCCTGGCGGTCCAGTAGTTAGGACTCTGTGCTCTCACTGCTGAATGCCCAGGTTCGATCCCTGGTGGGGAAACTAAATTCCCATAGGCTGCTTGGCGTGGCCTAAAAGAAGGCAGCTTCCTGGAACTTACCTATTACCTACTGAAACTAAATTTGTGCCGCTGAGGCCCAGGTATCTGTATAATAAAAGAATCCCCAGGTGATTCGTATGTATACTATTTGGTAATCAAGGGTATGACTCAAATTTTTCCTTTCTTCAATCTACTTACCTTTGTCTCGAAAGAAATGCAAGAAAAGAGAACCCAGTGTGCATGTCACCTCCTCACTCCTGAGCTGTGTGCTGCCTTGGCAAATTCCTTAAACTCTTGGAACCTCTGATTTCTCATTTGTAGGAGGTGGACCACCTTGAAGGGCTGTTGAAAAGGCTTGAGACACTGTTGTAAAGTGCCAGTACTGTGCTTGGCATATAATAGCTTCCTAATAAATGGTTGTTATAGGGTCATGCTGGAGTAGAATGAGCCCCCAATATGACTGGTGTCCTATAAGAAGAGGGAAATTTGGACACAGATATGCACAGAGGAAAGACAGATGTGAAGACACACTAGGGAATGTGGCCACACAGCCACGTGGCCACAGAGGCAGATACGGGAGTGATGCATCTACAAGCTAAGGAATGTCAGGGATTTCTGGCAACCACCAGAAGCTAGGAAGAGGCAAGGAAGGATTCCCCCCACCGCTGACCCCCTACCCCCGACAGTTTTCGGAGGGATCATGGCCCTGCAGAGACCTCCATTTAGGATTCTGGCTTCCAGAACTGTGAGAAAATATATTTCCGTTGTTTTAAGTCACCTAGTTTTTGGTATTTTCTTACAGCAGCCCCGAGGAAAGTAATACAAAGCCAAATATCCTTCACAGGTGAATGTGAAACAAACTGTGGTACATCCATACAATGGACTACAACATGGGTAAATCACAAAGACTGAGAGAAACAGGTCACCAGAGGTTGCATCCTGTATGATTCCATTAATGTGACATTCTGTTAAAGGCAAGTCTATAGGATGGAGAACCAATCAGTGTTTGCCAGAGGTTGGGGTGGGGGCCAGAGTTTGATTACAAAGGGAAGACATGAGGGAAATTTTTGGAGTCATGGAACTGCTCTGTGTCCTGATTGTGGCAGTGGTTACACAAATGTACCCATTGTTAACACTGATAGAACTGTATGTCCAAAGAGAGTTAATTTTATGGTGTGTTAATTTAGGTATTAAAAAAAATGAAAACACACGCACATATATATATATATACAAACAAATTTCTTTTAAACATGCTTGAAAAGAAATTTTCTTTCTGGGTTTCTGCCAGAAAGGCTGCTTTGTAGAGGATCTACCACACTAGTCCTTGTGTTTTGTGAGCCTGGTCTTCTATCTGTAAAAGGAGAGGATCCATCCAGAGCAGAGGTTTTCATAATGTCCCCCACCCCCACTGCCCCAAATTGCATCCCTGGACACTCCTTTTGTGGAAGTGGGAGTAGAGATGGGTCTGGAGAGAAAGGGGTCTGGACCCACAGGTCTGCATCAACCAGAGTGGTTGTGCTCTTTGTCTCATATTGTTTACCTAGAGTAATTCTCAATTAGAATAGCTGCTCCCAAGCCAGAGCCAGATACCTGGGGATTTTGAACATCCTGGATTCCAGGGCCTACTTCTGGGGCCCACTCATTCGTCCCTTTGGCAAATGCCTTCACGGATCCTGGTGGAACCCCAGCGTGCTGACTCTAATGGTCAGTGATTATAAATAAGGCCTTTGGGTAGGGGACAGGGGGCCCTGGAATGATGCTTCTTGCTTTCACATGGATTAAATACAATGACCCAATAGGAACGCTGAAAAGGCTCTAAATGTAGGCCTCCTCTGAGGTAGGGTCCAAAAGAACCTTAGACCATTTGTTTTTATAGACAGGATGATTTTTTAGAAGAGCGCTGTGTAGACAACAAAGGGCTGTATACAGATGGGGGAAAGGCCGCTGTGAGGATGGATGTGCTGACCCCCAACCAGCAGGGCTAAAGATTATCCTTAATAACAAGAGCAGCCCTTTCCTCTAAGCAGGAAACCATTCGCCTGCTAGGTCCCATGCTAAGGAATCTAATTCTCACAGCAACCCTGGGAGAGACAGGCTCCCACTGCTTTGACAGGTAAGGAAATGGAGGCTCTGAGAGGCCCCAGTTACAATGGGAGGAGGTGACAGAGCCAGTCCTGGCCAGCAGCTCCAGCCTACGATGCCAAGGCCCATGAGAGCAACGGAGGCCTTGTGTCAGGCGGGCTCTCTCTCTTAGCAAGTGCCCTGGAGAAGGGGATTAATGTTCCTTTTTCACAAAGGATGGTGGGGATTGCTGAGGGCAACTCAAGACCTTGCCATTTAGTACAGCACTGGAAAAAATATTTTTAAACTTTATATAGTGGAATTGTTTTTTTTTTAAACTATTTAACATGTAAATCTAATCTAGAAAACCAGAGTTGGGTCACTGTGGTTGAAGGTGGGGTCAGGGGTGGCCTGAGGCTCCCCCAGGACTCCCAGAGAACCCCAAGAAGACCACTTATCCAGTAGGTTGGCACTTACTGTAAGAAGCACACAGTGGGTACCACGATGTCTAAGCCTCTGGCTTTGGATTGGGAAGAACCAGGTGGGATTGGGGCGCTGGGTGGGTGGGAGGAGCGGCTGCGGGTGACTCACCCCTGGGTTAGTAGTCTGCTCTGGCAGGTCCCAGGGTTCAGGTCCATCTGAGCTGGGCACCACCTTCGGCACCCTCCTCTCTTGCCAGGCCGCAGCAGCCATGCCGTGCCGCTCACAGGATAAGAAACATTGTCACCATTTTACTTTTAATGAATTTTATTCTTTTTTTTTTTTTTTCGGTACGTGGGCCTCCCACCACTGTGGCCTCTCCCGTTGCGGAGCACAGGCTCCGGACGCGCAGGCTCAGCGGCCATGGCTCACGGGCCCAGCCGCTCCGCGGCATGTGGGATCTTCCCGGACCGGGGCATGAACCCGTGTCCCCTGCATCGGCAGGCGGACTCCCAACCACTGCGCCACCAGGGAAGCCCCATGAATTTTATTCTTTAAAGATAAGGCATACTAAGCTAAAAACTCCCCCTGCCCTTTTTGCTTGCCCTTCTAAAAGGTGGTTTCTAGTTCCTTTACCAACAAAAGTTCAACATTCAATGTTGATATAGGATTTGCAGCAGATGTCAGGGGCTGACCGGGATGGCTCACATCGGCATCATCAGACAGACCTCTTTCTCGTAGATGTCCGGAATCATACCCACCGCAGAACTGATCATGTGAGCGGTGTTCTTACTAAACAGCTTGAATTCATAATGGATAAGCTGTTCCCAAAAGCCGATGTTGGGCCGGATGATGGGGCGGCGTGACTTGGCCCACGTGTAGGCGTCCAGCAGCGACATGGAGTGGTACTTCATGAGGCACGCGAGGCAGAGAGCGGCAGAGCGGCTCACCCCGGCGGCGCAGTGCAGCAGCGTTCGGCGCTGCTTCATGTCCACGCTGTGGATGTGATCCGCCATAGGGTCAAAAAAGTCGTAGAGGTGCGAGGTGGGAGCATCTACCACCGGCACGTGTACGCACTGGATGTCTTTGAAGAACGTGTTGGCCACCTCTGCCGACACGTTGATGACTGTCGTGATGTGGTTGGTAGACAGCATGAGTTCATTGTTGGCTGCCACCCCATTGCTGATGTATAGACTGCTGGTTATCTGGGAGAGGCCATGGACAGAGCGCTGCCTGACAGCCTGAGCCAGGAGGGGACACGGGGATGTTGTCATCAAGGTGGCGGGACAGTGGTCTCTCCTGGCTGCTTTGGGGCACCACTCCCGGGAGCGAGTTCAGGAAGTAGCAGCTCGGTGGAGTCTCTTGGAGAGGGTCTGGGGGACAGTATACCAGTCATAGGTCACCACCCCGTCTCCACCTCGAACCCCCACCCCCCCCAACCCCCGCCGCCCTGCGCGGGAGTCACAGGCCCCCACTGCCCTTCCCACTGGTTTCCATGGCAATGGCAGCTCGCTACAGGGAGGACTTGGCCGCAGAGCCGGGTCTTCAGAGAAACCCCAGATCTCTCTTCTTTTTATCTTTCTTCATAGTCATTTATTTTCCGAGCCCGAATTCTTATCTGTCTTGATGTTTTAAAATGTTCTGTTACCAGGTAGCTATTTTATGCTTCAGTTTTTGGATCGCACTGAACTCAGTATCTATGAATGCTTCTATTTTATTGGTGTTGAAGAACAGGGCTTACAATTTTTCTACAAAGTAACAGTATCATATTTTTACACTGGGGCACAGCATTTGGCTCATGTGATATGCTAATCTTTATAAAACTGCAGCGAGATAGGGGTTTGGTTGGGCTTGGTGAGTTAGCCCGATACTTCTTTGTTGATTGCAGCCGTAGAATTATTTTCCTGCTCACAGACACATCAGGACTGTTTCTAAGGGAACATTGCTGATATATAGCCCTTTATCTATCATGAAGTTGGCCTGTGGTGAACAATTGTGACTAATTTAGCTGTGTCACTGTCCGCTTGTGCATACAGCCCAAATGATTTATCACTTGATTCTACTTTATTACATGAAACCACAGCTCAAATTTTCTTGTCTACTTTCTCCAAAAAGAATGCCCACATGCTTTGTAAGCTACAAGTCATTTTGACCGCCACCAGTGGTTTCTAACCAGTAATGTTAAAAAATTCTGGAGCCAGTCAATGCTACATCATAACTGGGCCAAAAATAGATTTTTAAAATGCTCCCTGAGATTTGCATTTCCTTTCAGCTAAGATTGTTGTAGAATTTGACTGAAGATTCGAAACAACTATAACCTAAAACTAACAAATTCTTTCACAGAGCAGCTCAGAGACTCATCACTGCCCCATCACTCCTTGTCATCTTGGGGTTGTGTGCAAAGGTGTGCTCCTTAAATTTTAAAAATGTAGTAAAATTAGGGACTTCCCTGGCAGTCCAGTGGTTAGGACTCAACGCTTTCACTAGTGGCCCCGGGTTCAATCCCTGGTCAGGGAACTAAGATCCCACAAGCCACGCGGCACAGCCAAAAAAAAAATATATATATATATATATATATAGTAAAAATTAACCAAAATAATTCCATACACTATTCTCAAAGACAAGCATGGTTCATATTAAATAGATTAATGTATTTTTCCAGCCGATATTCTGTGATGCCCTTTCATCTGAGGGATTTTGGATGTCTTAAAACTCCACTGTAGGACTTCTCCTGGGTGGATGAGAAGATGTTTCCTCCTCCTGAGTTTGGAAATTGGTCACTTTCAGACTTCCACTTATCTCTACTTTTCCTTGTTATTTAGGGGGAAACATGTACAAGGGACTTGCTGAAGAACACACTCTCTTCCTGACACTGGGAAAAGACCCTGGGTGTCAAGAACTAGTTAACACTCAGATTTCTCAATTCAGTAGTCAAGGCCCTTTCCTCTCTGATCTAAGCCTGCCTTTCCGATCTCATTCATTCATTCACTCACCAAGTTTTTATTAAGAATCTATTGTGTGCTAGGCATTTTCACTTATGTAAATCTTCAGTTCTGACCAAACAAATCAAATGTTCTTGGTAATTGCAACATATACATTCCTGCTTCCTTACCTTTGCTCATGCCACTCCTCTCCCATGAGATAAGGCTCTTGCTCCTTCTTGCTTACTGAATCCTTTCCAAGCCTCAAGAATCAGCTCGATTAATTTTTTAAAAAAGCATCAGCTGAGCATCCAGTCGGTGTCAGGTACAGTTCTAGCATTGTGTAGACCCAACACAACACACACAGGCCCAGATATCAAAGAGCTTACAGTTTAGTCAGAGAGATACATAATCATGAAAGAGTCCGGAAGAGAGGGTGATTCATTGTTTTATGTGTGTCTGTGCTCGGGGACCGAGGCAGCCAGGAGGGATATCATGAAAGGCTTCACAGAAAACATGACCTGGAACAAAGCTTTTTGTTCATTTGTTTGTTTTTATTATTTATTCTGTCCAAGTTTTTGTTTTGAAAAATTTCAAACCTACAGCAAAGATGAATAGAATAATGTGCACCTGTGTACCCTTCACCTGTAATTTCTCTATTGTTAACACTTGCCATCACATTTCCTTTGTCTCTCTATTTAGATATACAAACACACATATTCATCTGTTTACTTGTCTCTTTTTGCTGAACCACTGCTAACTGCAGATATAGCAACACTTTAGCCCTTTCAAGGCATCCTAAGAACAAGGGCACTCTCCTCCGTAACCACAATACAATGACTGTACTCAGGAAATTTAACATTGACCCAACTTTATTGTCTAATATATAATCCATATTCAAAATTCACCAGTCCTCCAAATAATGTTATTTGTAGCTGTTTTTTTCCCTTTGATCCAGGATGGAATCAAGGATCACACATTGCATTTAGTTGTCATGCTTCTTGAGCATCTTTTAATTTGGAACCATTTCTGAGCCTTTTGTTTTGCTTTGGTCTTTCCTGGCCACTGACATTTTTGAAGAGTTCAGGCCAGTTTTGCAGAACATCTTTCCATTTGGAAGTGTTTGATTGTTCCTTCAGGATTAGATTCAGGTGAACTATTTTTGGCAAGAATAGTACCAGATTGCATCATTCATTGGGGACATATGATGTCTGTTTGTCCCATTAACGATGATGATAAATTTGACCACCAGGTTAAGGTGGCATTAGCTAGGTTTCTACATTGTAAAGGTAACTTTTCCTCTTTGTAATTAATAAAGAATATGTAAAGTGGTACTTTGAGTTTCTGGGAATATCTTTGGAATAGGACTTTGAAGGATGAATAGGAGTTTTCCAGGCAGATAAGAAGACGGGAGCATTCTACACAGGAAGGGAAGTATGTGCAAAGGCACAAGGGTGTGAAATGGTGTCAGGAGGGCAGAGAACAACAACTCAGAATTACTAGAGCAGACAGAGTGTCGCAGAAGTGATAGGTGGAATGGCTATAGGAGTGGCAACAGAGATCACAGAGGGCCTTGCAAGAGGCACTTGGGCTTCACCCCATAGGCCATGGTGGCACACTGGAGTATTTTATGCAGAGAAATGGCAAAACAATTAATTTTTAGGAAGCTCACTTACAGCTATGTGGCTGGATTTGTGGAGCAGAAGGTGCAGTGGTGAGAAAGGCAACACTTGAGGGAGTGAAAGCTATTGCAATAGTCTAGGTGAGCAATGATACACCCATTGCAGACTCTTTTCTGCCATGGAAGCTGGATCAAATCCAAATATAGTTCACCTCCTCAAGTGTACACATAGGCCAGGCTACATAAGAGAATGGAATATCAAACTTCCTGTGGGTCAGTGTCTGGAGAGCTTGGTGTTCTGGGGGGCAGACAGTGAAGACAAGAGGCAGAGAATGTAGGTAATATGTTTACGTTGAAGGGTGGTGGTGGTGAGAAAACCTAAAAGAGTGTGGGATGAGGGCACAGGAGAGCTAGTAGCTAAAAGGAGTTGCATGTTATATTGTCCGATGGACAGATAGGATAGGTAGTCCCCAGCAGAAGGCTCGAAGGCAGAGGTGGGAGTTGGCTTCCCTGAGTAGTGAGAGTTGTATGTTAATTCCATTTCCCATTCTCAACTGCGGCTGAGTCAGTTACACCACTGTACACAGCTAGCAGCAAGCCAGCTTCCTAGGACTCATTGCTGGGCTCAGTTTGGTCCTTAGTTTTTGGATGGTGAAGGGAGACAGATGGATATGAATGTGGAACTCTTTAAATAACACTCTCCAGTCCAGAATACAGATATTATGAGAAAATGATTGTGACTTATGTTAGGTGAAAAAAACTAGTTTATAAAAAAGTAGTACCTTTTTTGTAAAGGTTAAATATATACGTATGTATATTTACCATATATATGTTTGTATATATATATATCTCACACGTATATTAAATATGTATTAGTGAATCCTGTTTGTGAAATATTAGGTATCAAAAGCTGCCCTAGGTATATATAGAGTAAGAATTTCACAAATGTCAGATATTATTTGATATTATATTTGAGTGGTGGGATTAAAGGGAATTATTCTTTTTTGTGTGTGCTTGTCTATGTTTTCAAATTTTCTAAAGTAATTTGTGTTATTTTTATAATTAGAAAAAAATGAATCAAAATGTATTTAGACCTCATCAACAGATATCTTCTTTTTTTGGCCTAAAAAATTAGCAAAGGTGGGCTTCCCTGGTGGCGCAGTGGTTGAGAGTCCGCCTGCCGATGCAGGGGACACGGGTTCGTGCCCCGGTCCGGGAAGATCCCACGTGCCATGGAGTGGCTGGGCCCGTTGAGCCGTGGCCGCTGAGCCTGTGCGTCCGGAGCCTGTGCTCCGCAACGGGAGAGGCTGCAACGGTGAGAGGCCTGCGTACCGCAAAAAAAAAAAAAAATTAGCAAAGTTGAAAAACTGCCAATACTTCATGGTGACAGAATTCAGAGAAATGAGCACTCTCCTACATCACCAGCGTCCGAGATGGGGAGTAGCAACACTGGCCAAACCACGTGGTGGTTAGGATGTAGAGCAAAGAAAACTCTCACAGTACTGGTGGCAGGGTAAGGTGGTACCACCAATCTGGAGACCAACACAGTAAAACTGAAGATGCTCGTAGCCTATGCCCCAGCAATTCCAGCCCAGGTAGAAACTCTTGCTCAGTAGACACAAGACGATATATACAAGAATAATTATTGCAATGTTGTTTATAACAGTGAAAAAATGGAGACAATATAAATGTCTACCAAGAAGAAAATGAAAATTTGACTGCATAGTCATAT